ACTTAACACTTTCTGTTGTAACAAAGTCCTCATTGATTTTGTGCATCAACAAGCCGAGTTCCATGTCCTAAAGTACCTTATCGTGAAGAGTATGAAATATGTAAATACGCACTATGTACACCGTACTTACGACGTAGATAACATAAACACTATATCACTATGCACACGTCATGCAAATGATATCATGTACATACAATGCACATGTCAAGCACATAAAATATATACTATATGCACATGACAAGAACATAAAATATTCACTATATACACATATTATGCATAAAACTGAAGATTGGGCAGCGAGTTGCTTCTACCATTTATAAGACACCATTTATGCCATGCTATTCGTATAATGGATACAATTACAACATAATCCACAAGGATCACATATATCCAAAAGATTGCAATGTGCACATTACACATCTCACAATGTCAAATTTGTCAACCAAATTAATCATATCATATGTAATGACAGTAGTGTGTACTTTACAATTCACAAAGTCAAAGTGTATACGTGTAAACCAAAACATTGGCATAAGGCTGATGCAACAACCCCAATATGTTTGCCTTAACCATATAGTAAAAGACGATGATGGATAGTTAGATATCGAACCCAATTGAGTAAACAACAACAGCCACTTTGATAACTTTGTCGAAATCCACTCTCAGAAATGTAATATCATCAATCTCAACATGAAAAAACTCAAATATTTGACTTCGAATCCTTACCAAGCCAATTAATGACTATCAATGTTTGTAGAGTTGTTGGAGGATATCATGAACCAACAAACTTCCCTATCAGTGATGGATTTCAGATCCCTGGATAGTAAAATACTTTGGTCAACACACGATTCGTATGTAAAACTAACACAATTCATATGTAAAACAAACACATTCATATGTAACAACTAACACAAACATCGATCTATTCAAAGTAAACCACCATAATGGGCAACAGTATTCCTTACAAAGTATGAAAAGGTTCACTTACATTTCTTATGACAAACCCTCTTTAGACAGAGCTTCCTTTGTCAATCTCGTTACGTAGTACCAACGGCGAAATACCATTTAACAATGTCTTACTTAAGAGGTCATCAAGTTCTCTTCTTCAGACTTGCAAGTTATCAAAATCAGTAGCAACCACAATATAACTGCAATGTGAAAAAAGGGACAAATTCAATAGAACATAAAGTTGGTTTTGAAAGATACAACATCTTATGGAAGACTGTCAATCGTACCACTGCATATGTAAACAAAAGACTAACAATTCTAGTGTCTCACCAGCAATAACTACAATGTTTGGAAGAAAAAAAACATTCAAATCATATGCCTACAAAATGTACAAGTAAGCAGAAACATACACAATAAAGGAAACTGCATGGCAATATCTTTCCTGCATGATTCACAACTTTATTGTTGACATTCCCTTTTCTTACTTTCTTCATCCAACATGTACACAAAAGAGATTGCCTCAAGTAAGATAATTGTGCCAACGCAAATGCCTTAAGTACGATAATTATGCATTCCATGTGCATATCGTGTGCAATTTCTTACATATTGTACTAAAACTTCTGATTCACAAACTTTTTCAAACAAACACCAATTCGAGATCGAATTCACAAACATTTGCAAGTTCATAACAAAATTAACAAATATTGAGCATCAATTAAAACGCAAAACTCTAAGTTTGAAACCTAGAAATCTAAAATAACAAAACCCATAAACAAATAAAGATATACAATTCGAGCCGTCTCTTCCGCATCCCTCTTTTGTTCAACTTCCTATCTCTGCAAATTCAAAAAACCTAATTGAACAAACAAGTAATTAGTTGCAGAAATGGAGACAATGATTGAGTTAGAGAGAGAAATAGATGAGAGAGACAGACGAACCTAATAACAGTGGAAATATGGCTGCCAAAGTTTTATTGGCTGGAAAGAATGGAACTTTCCGACCAAAATGCAAAATTTGGTACAAAATTTATATCTTTAAGAATGGAACATTGATGAAAACGAGAAACCTTCACTTCGAAGCTTCACTCTCGACTTCCCTCTATTCGAAATCAGAGCTTAACCTAGAAACCCAGACCTCATAGAGCTCTCGACATCCCTATCCAGCAAATGAGAATAGTAATTAAATGAGCTGAGGATTTTTAGTATTTATATGTGGGCATTTTAGTAATTTCGGGTTCTGTGCATGGTGTGCATGCCTGGTTTGTCCTATTTATGTTCCAAGATAAAGAAATTATCCCATTTTGGGGTATTTCCCTAATAAATTTATGTGGGCAAGACCACTAATTTAAGATTGAAAAATTAATACGAAATAAGGGTCCATGAAACATCACATAGATAGAAGTAGTCCAAATGAACATAGATAAAGTAATCCAAATGAGTTGAAGAAGAAGCCTTAGAAATTTAGGTGATATGGACCCTTCTACTATGTGTTATATGATCAATTTTCCTTTTTAAATTTAATTTAATTGTTTAATATTACCAAATACCCGTGTCATGTCATCAAGTTAAAACTTTTTGTAATGAGTTGATGGAGTAGGGTAATGTGGTTAAAATAAGACATAGTAGAGCATTTGGGAAAGTTAAATTTTATGTAGAGTTGCAGCTTAAAATAAGTAAATGATTATGAAAAGTAAAAGATTTGAGATGAAGATATTTTAGTGTATTAATGACATGGAAGTAGGCTAAATGTTGGAGAGAAAAAATTTATAGATCAAATTTTATAAATTCAATGACATGGAAATTGGTGAATAAATTATTACTTAAATGTCGATTAACATGTGTATACTATTTCTTATTGGTGACACATCACTTTGTTTGCATATTTAGTTTACAAATTTAGGTGAGCATTTTTGCTCACCACCATAACTATGGTGTATGCTTACCATGAACTTAATTATCTGTCATATGTTATTTCAGCTAATTCTAGTTAACTTTCATATTAAATGTTACTTTTTCAATTTTGACCAAAGTTAAGTAAAAGGACACGTAACAAATGATTATGTGTATGATGAGCATACACCATAGTTCACATATTTAGTATACCTAGCATTACTCACCATAATAATTTGGGTAATGCTTGAGAGATTAAATTTGTAGACTAAATTTTGTAAACAAAATGCCATGGAAATTGATGATTGAATTATTACTTAAGTGTTGATTAATATGCTTATTTCCTATTGGTGACAGATCATTTGCAAATTAGTTTAAAAAAAAAAAGAAAACTAATGAAAAAGACTTGAAAATTTTGAGTAAAGTGAATAATACCATGATTTACTTTTTAGTGTAAAAATGTGATTTTTCGTTAAAGTGAATAGTACATAGAGTTTTTCGTTAAAGTTCCTTTTTAAAAATTTCATCTCCCTAACATTATACAATAAAAAATAGGGAAATTTTATTTAAACCCATGTAACATCTTTCTACACCCAACTTAAATTTTAATGTTAATTGTCCATTTTAACTTATTGCATAATTAATATTGAGTACAAAAGGAAATTAATAATAAAACTCAAATTTATTAATAAACCCACACACTATAATTAAACTATAGCATCACCATTTGTTTATCCTACATTCATTCTGACTAAAGCCCTAATAGCTCTGATGGAGAAAAACAAGCTTTTCTATTGATGGATGGTGATTTTGAAGTTTTCAATCCTCCAATTAAGGTTTGACTCAATTTATAGATAATTTGTTTGTTTGCTTCATCTTTGGATTAAATTTCATATTTTTTATATTATATTGTTTTTGTTTTTCTATGCCGTCTGTCTACGCCCCAAAACACTATCATTAGAGATGAGTAGAAACAATAAACTCTATCGTTGAAAAAGAAAAGATGTGAACCTCATCAAAAGTTATAGTGACATAATGGTATGTTGCAATAGGAATTTGATATGTAACACATAGTTAAAATATTTTAAGACTTTCATCGAATGAACATAACTAAGACAAATAATAAAGATGAGAAATCCAAACAACAATTAACTTGTACAACCTGGTAGTGTGATGTTCTCCTGACTCTCGTGATGATTATCATAAGCCCTGAGGAAACAAGGTTATTTGCACATGCATTCATTTAGAAGCAGAACAGAAAGACGAATGAAAAGGGCTTTATGAGAATATTACCCCTCAACGAACATGCTTCCATCCAAATCCAAAGCATCAAGATCAAATTTTTCCGGCAAAGTGATGGATTGAATTGGAGCTTGCATTGCATTCTTTGGCAAATTCAAGTCTATGAAAGGATCTCTTGGATCCCAAGTACAGGGATGGGTTTGGTAGTAGAAAGAAAAAAAAAAGCAGCTACGGAAATGCTAGTCCTATACGGTGTATGCAATTATAGAGGGGCAAAGAACGCCTCTTTAAAAAAAGAAAACATTTAATTAGAGATGCTATTTTATAAAGAGAACTTTAATGAAAAGCTCCTGATACTGTTCACTTTAATGAAAAATCACATTTTTACACTAAAAATCAATCATGGTACTATTTACTTTACCCTTTATTTTGTTCTTATCGTTAAAATTCAAAGTTTTCAAGTTATTTTCATTAGTTTTCTTTTTTATAAAAGGAATGGGTATAAAGATAACTTTACATTTTGAATTGGGGTTGAGAGGCTAGTTTAGGTAATAAATTTGGGTTTAAAGAGATATTAATTCTTTAATAAAAAACAACAATATTGATGAAGAAAATAAATTGGTTGTAGAAAAAAAATTACATACTTCAAATAAAATTTCCCTAAAAAATATTTACACACTTTGTGTGGGCATGTAAGCTAATTTCAATTGAATGCACCCGAATAAATGAAGAACAAAAGCCCAGCAAGCAAACGAGCTTACCCCAGCCCCCAAGCCAAGAGCCACTCTAAAACCCTGTGTGAGGAGAGCTAAGAACGGTGGCGCAGATTCCGCACCAAAGCAAAGCAAAAGAAAGCACAGGAAATGGGTAACAAGAAGCGGTCAAGAACCATAAGTCTCACCGTGACCGGGGGCAATCTAGTCGGACCCATCACCATCTTATCACCATCTTCCACAGTCTGACGAATCCCTACCATTTGATCAAGGTCTCCAATTTATTTTCCATTTTTTCACGCAAGGTGTTTGATATAATTCCTGCTGTGGAGGCATTGGGTTTTGATTTTTCATTTTTTTGGTTGGTTACTGCAGTTACTGAAGAGGAGCCAACAGCAACAGGTCCCAAAATCCAGCTTGCAATTTGGGTATGCATTTCTTTGCTTTTTCTTTCAACTTCCATTTTCTCTTCATATCGGTGTGCTTTTCTGTCTCTGATTTACCTCATAATATTCGTCTTCAATTGTTATTTTTGGTTATACTTCAACTGTAATGTCTTGTGGTCATGTTTAAAAGGTGTATAAATCTACTGCAGTTGCCATTTAATGTCGATTAATTTGTTTGAGATAATGTCCGAATCCTGTGGCCTTACTCTGTCCATCTGAAATGAACTTTTGCAATGGCATCCTCAATTTCAATCCATTCTGTGATCCTCAAATCAATTGGTGTTGTTTTGTTGATTCAGGATTTTGGCCAATGTGATGCAAAAAGATGCACAGGACGCAAGCTTTCAAGATTTGGCTTTTTGAAGGTAAGTGTCCGGTTATTTTTTTCCTTTTGAATCACTTCTTGGCTTTTAGATTTTTATTTTACCAGGGTTTCTTTCCAACTATCTATTCAATCAGAATTTTGGCTGTAGGATCCCTACTTTATGTAAATGTAACTGGTGCATTGAAATTTTTGTTAGATATTATGGATACAACTTTTTTCAATCATAAAAGGGAAGTATTTAAATGGAAAATAGGTCTAGTTTGCATGTTTTAGGTGTAAAGGAAGGATGCCGACTGTAAACAATAAGTCTTTTGTAGAAGCTCCATCTTATGTATGTTGAATATTTCCTGCATAGCATTGAAGGTTATCGATCTTTTTCCCTGGTTAAGTATTCCTAGTTGGTATTATGAGCACCTTGAGCATATTCGCAACCAAATATGTGAAGATTGCCTTTAACTCTTGATGTATTAAACTATCTATAATGCTGTGAAGTGTATTGGGTTACAGTTATGACACAATGGAAGTACATATTATTTAAATGTTGGAAACTTGTTGGGACAAATAAAATTGTGTCATAGACTCATAGTACTAACTCCGCCTATGTACTTACATTGCCGGTCCCAAGCCCGGATAAAGGAGGAGGGGGAGGGCGTCAGGTAGTCGACAGCTGGCACTCCATGATCACGTCGAATCCTTATGAAAATGAATTCAGAACAAAATTGCGCTAAAGCTAGGGCGTCACCCGTAAGTGGCGCGCTGTGTGGCCCGAGCACAGTGATAAGTGAGCAAGGGTCGCTGTATCTCCATCGGCACCCGGATGCAGTGTTAAATGAGCAAGGGGGCCATAGAAACTTCTTTTCGAACGACTCAACTCAAAGTTGTTTGGGAGCATATGCTCCTATCAACTTTACACGGGACACACAAAAGAAGTACTTTGATCCTATTAGATGGGGGAGGGTGAAGAAGCTAGGACAGAATGGTAGAGTTCAAGAGAGCAAAATGCGTTTAGGAACGTGGAATATAGGAACCTTAACGGGAAAATTTATGGAAGTAGTGGAAGTTATGGTGAGGAGAAGGATAAATATTATGTGCCTACAAGAAACTAAGTGGGTTGGTAGTAAGGCAAAGGATCTAGAAAACTCAGGGTTTAAACTTTGGTATTCGGGCAAATAGAACGAGAAACGGTGTTGGCATCATCGTGGACAAGACCTTGACACAAGATGTTGTAGATGTCAAGAGGGTAGGAGATAGAATTATGGCAATCAAGATTGTAATAGGACAAGAACTTATCAATGTGATTAGTGCGTACGCACCTCAAGTAGGGTTGGATACGAGTTCGAAGGAGAAATTTTGGGAATACCTTGGAGACTTGGTGCAAGGAATTGCTCAGACGGAGAAGTTATTTATAGGAGGAGATTTAAATGGACACGTGGGCAGGGAGACAGGCAACTATGGAGGTTTTCATGGTGGCCATGGTTTTGGGGAGAGAAACGAGGATGGGGAAGCTATCTTGGATTTTGCAATGGCATATGATCTCTTCTTAGCCAACACCTTCTTTAAGAAGAGAGAAGAACATGTGATCACCTACAAGAGTGGGTCGTCAAAAACACAAATAGATTTTCTTCTAATGAGGAAAGGGGATCGTATAACTTGTAAGGATTGCAAAGTTATACCAGGAGAGAGCGTGGCTAATCAACATCGCTTGTTGGTGATGGATGTATATATCAAAAGAGTGAGACAAAAGAACAAGACTTGGAAGTGCCCAAGGACTAGATGGTGGAATCTAAAAGAAGAAAAACAAGTCATTTTCAAAAAGAAAGTAATCACCCAGTGTGTGTGGGATAGAGATGGGGAAGCTAGCCAAATGTGGGATTCCATGGCTAGTTGTATCCGAAAAGTAGCAAAAGAGGTATTAGGAGAGTCCAAGGGCTTTGCCCCACACCAAAAGGAATCTTGGTGGTGGAATGAGGAGGTACAAACAAAGGTGAAGGCTAAGAAGGAATGTTGTAAAGCCTTATACAAGGATAGGACTGATGAAAATGGTGAAAGGTATAGAAAAGCGAAGCAAGAGGCGAAGAAAGCTGTGAGAGAAGCTAAGTTAGCGGCTTGCGACGATATGTATAAACAACTAGATACCAAAGAAGGAGTTGGATATCTATAAACTAGCTAGAGCAAGGGAAAAGAAGACAAGGGACCTAAACCAAGTGAGGTGCATCAAGGATGAGGATGGAAAGGTTCTTGCTACAGAGAACGCGGTTAAAGACAGATGGAGAGGTTATTTTCATAATCTTTTCAATGAAGGACATGAAATGAGTGCTTCTTTAGGGGAGTTGAGTAACTCAGAAGAGTGTAGAAACTACTCTTTTTATCGTCGAATCCGGAAGGAAGAAGTGGTTGTAGCTTTGAAGAAGATGAAGCATAGAAAAGCAATAGGCCCAGACGATATACCAATCGAAGTGTGGAAAGTTTTGGGAGAGACAGGTATAACATGGCTCACTGACCTTTTCAATAGGATTTTGAAAACGAAGAAGATGCCAAATGAGTGGCGAACGAGCATTTTGGTGCCTATCTACAAGAATAAGGGCGACGTACAAAATTGCATGAACTATAGAGGTATTAAGCTAATGAGTCATACAATGAAGCTCTGGGAGAGAGTCATTGAGCATAGATTGAGGCAAGAGACACGAGTTTCGGACAACCAATTCGGGTTCATGCCAGGGCGCTCAACCATGGAGGCAATCTATCTCTTACGAAGATTGATGGAAAGATATAGAGATGGGAAAAAGGATTTACACATGGTCTTTATAGATTTGGAGAAAGCGTATGATAGGGTCCCAAGAGACATTCTTTGGAGGATTTTAGAGAAGAAAGGAGTACGAGTAGCATATATCCAAGCTATAAAGGATATGTATGAAGGAGCCAAGACTGCCGTAAGAACTCATGAAGGACAAACTGAAAGCTTTCCCATAACTGTAGGATTACATCAAGGCTCATCCTTAAGTCCTTACCTTTTTGCGTTGGTAATGGATGAGTTAACAGGACATATTCAAGATGATATTCCTTGGTGTATGCTTTTCGCAAACGATATAGTGTTGATAGATGAAACTCAGGAAGGGGTAAATGCAAAGCTTAACCTTTGGAGAGAAGTGTTGGAGTCTAAAGGTCTTCGCCTAAGCCGATCAAAGACAGAATATATGGAGTGCAAGTTCAGTGCAAATGGAGGCCAAAACGAGTTAGGGGTGAGGATCGGAGATCAAGAAATACCAAAGAGCGACCGTTTTCGTTACCTAGGATCTATCTTGCAAAAGAACGGAGAATTAGATGGAGATCTCAACCATAGAATACAAGCTGGATGGATGAAGTGGAAGAGTGCATCCGGCGTGTTGTGTGACCGCCGTATGCCACTGAAGCTCAAGAGAAAATTTTTTATAGGACGGCAATAAGGCCGGCGATGCTGTATGGCACAGAATGTTGGGCGGTGAAGCATCAACACGTACACAAAATGGGTGTAGCGGAGATGAGGATGCTTCGTTGGATGTGTGGGCACACGAGAAAGGATAAGATTAGGAATGAGGATATCCGGGGTAAAGTAGGAGTAGCCGAAATTGAAGGAAAGATGAGAGAAAATCGGTTACGGTGGTTTGGACATGTGCAAAGAAGGCCTACTGACGCTCCGATTAGAAGATGCGACTATGGGACAGAGGTTCAGGGCCGAAGGGGTAGAGGAAGACCTAGGAAAACTTTGGAAGAGACTCTAAGAAAAGACTTAAGAGTACTTGGATCTAACGAAGGACATGACACAGGACCGAGCACAATGGCGTTCTAAGATTCATATAGCCGATCCCACTCAGTGACTTGGATTTTCCAAGTCTCCAACCGAGAAGTTTTCCTCACTCAGGAAATTAAGGGAACACTACCTCAACCTACATGCTCCACTCACAAAGCTTCAACAAAAGAAAATTCAAAGAACTTAGCGAAGAAGGCTTTGGTGTATTTAACACAATACGTTGAAATGAAGGAGAGCTTATTTATTGATATCCCCGATAAGCTACAAATATGTACATATACATAAGTCAAAATAAACAAACAAGAGGGAGCCTTCACAAAGGTTGCTTAGGAGAAGTCTCAGCAGTCGGTAGAGCCCCAGAAAGAGAAGGCACCGGAGGGGGATCATTCGGAGCCTCAGTACTGGACAGAACCCTAGAAGGAGGAGGCATCAGAGGTTGATCATTTGGAGCTTCATTACGCGGTACAGCCCCAGAAGACGAAGGCAATAAATGCCTTTGGAATAAACCCACAAATCTCTGATGATCAAGTAAAACCTGACCATCAGATTCCTTCATCTGGTCAAGCTTCCTCTTCATGTTTGTAGCATAGTCATGTGCGAGCCGGTGCAACTGTTTATTCTCATGCTTGAGCCCTCTAATCTCCTGTTTGAGACTCATCACTTCAGCCGCCAATGATTCAACTTGGCGGGTTCGAGCAAATAGGCGTTGGGCCATATTAGACACAGAACCTGCACACTGAACACTGAGAGCCAGAGAATCCTTAACAGCTAACTCATCAGACCGTTTGGAAAGTAGTATGTTATCTTTGGGAGAGAAGGTTCCTGGCCACCACCGTAGCGGTCATATCATTCTTCATCACGGAATCCCCAACGGTAAGAGGACCAGTAGGGGAGACGAAGGATGGACGCCATATGTTGTCAGGAGAAGGCGGGGCTGCCTCTTCAACATGGTTCAAGTCAAAACGACGGTCGGAGGGGCCAGACATTTTCAAAGGTGTTGAAGAGAGAAGAGGTCGGACAAATCAAGATCGTAGAAGTACAAGAATGGAGCTTCTACTGGTGGAGATTCAAGGGTGCTTTGGAACTTAATGCCAGCCTCTATAAAAATCTGCACTCGACGGAGCTTCAGAAATCGAAGAGGCGCCTGCTCAGAAATCGAATAGGCGTTTGCTTTCTCAAAAGCAAGGTTGCTCAGATACCACGAGGGTCGATCTCAGAAATCGAAGAGGCGTTTGCTTTCTCAAAAGCTGGGCTGCGCAAAGACCACGAAGGCCGATCTCAGAAATCGAAGAGGCGCTTGCTTTCTCAAAAGCTGGGCTGCTCAGAGACCACGAGGGCCGATCTCAGAAATCGAAGAGGCACCTACTTTTCCAGCCTTGTCAGCACCTGTCACACGCACACTCAGCTTTGCGGAAATTATGGGCATTCGGTCGAAGACTTCTGGTGAAGTAGAAAGCACATGAGTCTTACTGTTCAATCACCCACTTCCCACATGCAACAGTAGCTCATGGGTACCACAGATAACTTTGCCAAAGTTCTCTGCCAAAGTTGAACACGTGAAGCTTGCAGCTTCCACTACATCGCTCTGACCAAGAAGGGTAAAAGAATAGCAAAGAAACAACACTAACAAAGTTTAGACACATAAATTTTGAAGGTCTAGCTACCATATTATTACCCACAAAGGTAAAGGAACAGTACCACCACTGGATAATTGGAAAGTCCCTGTGTGTCAACCTCTGTGCTTCGTGGCAAGGTAGACTAGCAAACATGCCCAACCTTTAATCACATTCGAGAAAACACTCCCAACAAGATTGCTTGCTCCAAAATCGAAGAGGCACCGTCCTCCGAATCTCGAGAGCCAGACTCCCAACATGCCTACTTTCTCAAAAATCGAAGAGGGTAAAGGAACAGTACCATTGCTGGATAATTGGAAAGTCCCTGTGTGTCAACCTCTGTGCTTCGTGGCAAGGTAGACTAGCAAACATGCCCAACCTTCACTCACATCTGAGAAAACACTCCCAACAAGATTGCTTGCTCCAAAATCGAAGAGGCACCGCCCTCCGAATCTCGAGAGCCAGACTCCCAACATGATTACTTTCCCAAAAATCGAAGAGCCACCGCTCTCCGAATCTCGAGAGCCAGATCCCCGATAAGATTGCTTGTTCGAAAACCGAAGAGGCAACACTTTCCCAACTTCAAGAGCCGGATCTCCTTGGATAAAGCTGTCTGTAATCTTCACACGCAACATTAGCTTTCCAGATACCACAAACCACTTTTTCAAAGTGCTCTGACAACGTTAAAACATGTGAAGCTGGCAGCTCCCACTACTGTGCTATGACCAAGTAGGGTAAAGGAATAGCATTACTACTTGTTGTTAAGGAGACTCCTATATATGTCGACCTCCATCCCCAACGGACAGGCAGACCTGCAAAAATGCTCAACCCTTCCTCATATCTGAGAGGGCACTCCCAACGAAGCCTTTCTAAATATTCAGCTTTCTTTCCCCCCGATAATACCTCTGCAAACAAGCTATACTAGAGCAAGAATATCTCATATCATCAGGGTTAAAAGCAAGAGTATCCCATATCATGCTTTTTCCCTGTCTTTTCCTTTGACCTTGTTCTTACCTGCAAGACAAGGAGAAAGAGAGCAATCAGTCAGTACTTGGAATCAAGCTTCCAGCCAGGAACTGACTGCCTGGAACCCCTTACCTGATTACTTACCTGACATTGCTCTCGAGTACTCATCTTCAACATCTTATGCTTCCAGGGAAGATACCGCATCTGCCTGAGGAACAGATAGGGCAAGGGAGAAGGATACAAGGAAGCATGTGGAGACAAGCGTAACAGCACACGTGCCGATACATCCATTACTCTGTCAAAGCAAAAGTATCCCATATCAGCAGGGTCGAACGTACTCTAGATTTGATGGACTTGTTTTGACCCTCAAATTCTTCAGTCGGCCTTATACTCTGGAGGAAACCAGAAAACCCTCCAGCTCAGTTCAAGAATAAGCCTGTGGAAAGTTACTTCTTCAAAAGCAAAAGTATCCCATATCATCTCTTCTCATTTTCTTCTCTTTATCCTTCATGCTGCCTGCAAGATAGGGAGACTGTGAACAATCAGCCGGAGCTATGATTGCTTACCTTGTCTGTCACCTCTTTCAGCAGATCCCCTAGCTCGGCGACTTGGGGGACTCCTACTACATGGCTTGTATCGCGCTTGACCAAGCCTGAAACTACAAGTAAGCTTCAAGTGAAATTGATACATTATCTTGTGCATCTCCACCAGTTAAAGATACCACCCCTGGATGGAGGAAGAGTACTTCCAGAGAAGATGCCCCATCTACCTATGAGACAGATAAGGCACGTCAAGACGGTACCACACTCCGATATTTAGAAGTTTCGTGATTACGAGATCATTCTCCCACAATATTTCCTAATGTCATTTGTACTAAATCATTCACTTGTACTCACTAAAGGAGAGCTTGAACCTATGTACTTGTGTAAACCCTTCACAATTAATGAGAACTCCTCTATTCCGTGGACGTAGCCAATCTGGGTGAACCACGTACATCTTGTGTTCGCTTTCCTATCTCTATCCATTTATATACTTATCCATACTAATGATTGGAGCAATCTAGCGAAGATCACAAAAAGCAACCGTTTTCGCTACCTAAGATTTATCGTGCAAGAGAACGGAGAATTAGATGGAGATCTTAACCATAGAATACAAGCTGGATGGATGAAGTGTAAGAGTGCATCCGGCGTGTTGTGTGACCGTCATAGGTCACTGAAGCTCAAGGGAAAATTTTATAGGACGGCAATAAGGCCAGCGAGTTTGTATGGCACAGAATGTTGGGCGGTGAAGCATCAACACGTACAAAAAAATGAGTGTGGCGGAGATGAGGATGCTTCATGGGATGTGTGGGCACACGAGAAAGGATAAGATTGGGAATGAGGATATCCGAGGTAAAGTAGGAGTAGCCGAAATTGAAGGAAAGATGAGAGAAAATCGGTTCCGGTGATTTGGACATGTGCAAAGAAGGCCTACTGACGCTCCGGTTCGAAGATGTCACTACTGGACAGAGGTTCAGGGCCGAAGGGGTAGAGAAAGACCTAGGAAAACTTTGGAAGAGACTCTAAGAAAAGACTTAGAGTACTTGGATCTAACGGAGGACATGACACAAAACCGAGCGCAATGGCGTTCTAGGATTCATATAGCCGACCCCACTTAGTGGGAAAAGGCTTTGTTGTTGTTGTTGTTGTATAGACTCATAGTACTAAATGCAATTTCCCTAAGCTGTAAAACCTAGATCATGGAATTTAAGATTTATTAGATGGTTTCACTCTTGCAATTTCTTTAGTGTTAATATTCATACTAATTCTTGCAGGAATTGTGTGTCAATAATGGTTTTGGAGGCATTGTTTTGAGGTACTTTTAGAAATTATCTTGTTTTACCTTACCATACCTATGATATTATTATTAATTAATTTTTTTAATAATGTCGTGTTGCATTGTGTTAGTTTTATATCAGTATCTAGCTGCGCTGGAATATTATACAGGAAAAATTACATACATTATATTCCAAAAACCAAGCAAGCATCACTTGATCTTTCTGATGATGTAATGGGCGTTGTTGAATCATTATAGCCTTCTGCATTCGCCTCAAATTATTAGTTTTGCTTCATCTGCATGTACACCCCAAATATCTGAGATCTAAAGAGTGAGCGTTTCAGTTTTTGAAGAATTTTTGCTCCGGATCTTGGCAGATGGGGGAGGTGGGCAAGGTGATTGAAATGTAGAAACTTTGGGTTTAGCTGAGTTTTAGGAGAGTCTCTTGTTATAGTTCTAATGGAAATCTGTAGCAGCACCTTTGTTCCTTCTGTTTAACGGTTTATATATTTAAATGACATTCATTATTTCATGGTTCATTATAAAAACATATATAAATTCTTTTGTTCCTTTCATTAAACAGTTATGCATTTGAATTGACATTACTGCTTCATGGTTCATATATGGATTCTTTTACTAATGTTATTTCCCATTTCGGCAGTCCAGTTGGGACGCTTTGTGTCTCAAGAGAAGATTATAGTTTAATCCAGCAAAAAGGATTAGCTGTTGTGGATTGCTCTTGGGCACGCTTGGATAATGTACCATTTGTGAAGCTTTGTTGCACTGCTCCTTGCCTCTGTAAGAGCTTTGGTTCTTCAATCAATTAGCTTGCATAGAGCATGTTATTTATAGTATGATTTGTGGCTACAAACAACGAGGAGTGTCCAACACATGTCCATTAAAGGAATTATATATGCGGTACCAAAACATTAAATATGAAATACATGTGATATGCCAAAGATAGTTTCAAATGCACAACTGGATGGATGCTTAGTTTTTATATGTATTTATGTACTCTTATATGAACAAAAGTTGGAAAGAGTCTGTGAGATTACATATGGTGATAAATTTAAGTGTATCCTCTGAATTGTGTGTAAGCCTCTAAAGTCTCTCACCCACACTTATTCTCTGTGTCTGTATAGATGAAAATAAAATTAAATATTCCTTTGGAGTATCAAAAATAAATACATACATTAAGAAAATACAAATAGACTGCCCTAGTAAAATATGAAACTGAAAATACTGACTGTTACTAACTGGGAAAGAAGGATTGAACAAATTCAAAAAGAATTTCTCAGTTTCTAACTAAAGTAGTTATATCTTTTCATTTATTTGTCTGGCTTTTTGCTATATAATTTCTAAAACATAACTGGGGGTAGCTTCAAATCAGAGACCGTTATGTGCCATTTTAAAAATGCCATCAGAATTGCGGAAGTGGGTGTGACATGGAGCTCTCTCAGGATAAGATAATTTCCATGTGGTCATTCCGTGTAGATATTAATTTTAGTGGATGGGGTTGTAACGGTATTGAAATGCAACCTATTACTGCTGTGGTTTTACCAATCGCATATGGTTAGCAACACTAGAATATTCTAAACAGAGACACGGGTGGGCGAAGATAGCTCACAGAGCTGATATGCATTGCTTCCAGGCTGAGCAACCTTGTTTAATTAAATTTCATTTATCTAGTATGATAAATCATCTCTTTGCCAGTAGTCTAAATTGATAGCAACCTTGTTTATCATTTTTATATTCTGCTGCTTGTTATAATCATGTTATATGGTGTGATGAATGATTGAGTGTACTTTTGCAATTAGCACATGCATGAAGTTAAGTTTCTGTGTTCAACAGTTTTCTTCTTACTAGCTCCCTAACATTTACAAATTATATAATTTGCAGTGGCTTGGTTTGTAGCAGCAAATCCAGTAAATTATGGTCGACCCTGTCAACTATCTTGTGTGGAGGCATTATCTGCAGCTCTGTTCATATGGTACTAGAATCTCTTTTCATTACCATGAAGAGTGAGAGGTTTTGTCTACCACTGATGCCTTTTTGGTCTTTAATTACACCAGTGCAATCTCTTCTGTCTACTACTTTCACAAATTCTAAAATTAAATTATTAAAGGTCTATCTGCTCAAAAAAAAAAATATTATTAAAGGTATATCTGCTCAAAAAAAAATATTATTAAAGGTTCTATGACTTTTAGGTTTTTCATAGAGTAACTGAATTATCACGTAATTGTCAATTTTCTCTCTGATCTACTTTTCAACCAATTAACCCGAATAAAAATGGCCAACTTAGGATTTGGTGTCAATTTTACAAACTTCCATCCAATTTTCCTTTAACAACTGTCGTGTGCCAACACATGTTCTCTTATTAACGATTTATTTAAATTTAAACAGAATACATTTTCAACCATTAAAGCTAAAAACTACAAAGAAAACTAACCCTCAATTCCCTGAAGCCCTTCTCGTCCCCCTTCATGCACCACCACACACACACACTCGAGCACCAGCCCATCGACTTTCAGCTACGGTGATGGTCTGCGGTGACTGCGTCATTTCTCCTCGTTTCACATATGTTTTTCTTTTTTTTTTGGCTTCATGATATTTTAACTGTAGAGAATAGAGAACTTTTCTCTCTGGTTTAGATTGATTTGATGTGTACAAGAAGTCGTGAAGAGGCTGATAGGAGTCACTTTTTTATGGTTGTGGGGTTGGGGGGGGGGAGGGGGGCTGGGGCATGGAGGTGTGGCCTTACTTTTATCAAGTTCTTGAATAGAGAATTAAAAGTTTACCGGTGAGGTTCAAATTGGTCATTTTTATATGGTTCATGTAGGCGTAAATTGATAACTACGTGATAGTTGATGGGGGGTAAATGACAGCTTACTCTTTCCCATAATAATGACTGTTGGGTGACAGTACAGCCCAAACCTCATCCTACTTGATAATCAATACTTAAGCTTTGGAGCTCTTTTCCTCCTCCCAAGTCTTTTGTAGGCTCCAAAGGATTGTTTCATTTTTATGAAATTCTTTGCTGTGGACCTCTCTCTCTATTTGGGTCAACAGTTTGATATGTTGCTGCCAGACATTCAGTTGCCTATTTTCCTTAATGTTTCTTTTATATGATTTTATAGTGGCGAAGAAGAAACTGCAAATTTGTTGCTTGGAAAGTTCAAATGGGGTCATGCTTTCCTGTCCCTCAATAGGTATGCGGTTATGTTTTATTGGGTGTTGTATTTAGTTTTGCATAATATGTTCATCAGAAATCATACTCCAGGTAAGAAATTAATGCTATGTCAGTTGAAACCCATAGCTGACCCAGAAAATGTTCAACCAATCCATGAAATGATGTCTAGCCTTCGATGACATGCATCTAGCATACTTTGGTCATGGTTGATTATGAAAAACAATCTAAGCTAAATAAATTTCCTTTTTATTTTTTGAACTCTCAGATTGATCTAGGTTGTTATTCTCGTCATATTTTCCTCAGTCTCTGGCCTTACAGTTTCGGAGGATTTTAGCTAATGATTTCTAGGGACAAGGTAATTTATGACTGAAGTCAAATTAAAAAGGAAAGTTCCATACAATTCTGGATTGACTAGTCGAATGTGGCTGAAATTTCACTATATCCAACTGCCTAACATTCAAGTAATGACCACCCTGGTATCATGGTATCTCAGTAATCACCAGACTTTTTACTGAAGGATATATTGAGATTACACTGAATCTATATCAGAATGCACAATTATTCTTGACTTTTATGTGTCTGACACTATTTCGACCATTGGCATCGATGCAGGGAACTTCTGAAGGCATACTCCAAATGTGAAAACAGTGCTGAAATAATTTCAGTCCAAAATGATTGGCTTTCACAAAACAGTCAGGTTCCCAAGGCTCCTAGAGAAGTAAAGGGTACTTTTGACTTTTAAAAACAGAAAGTAAATTCTTTTTACAAGATCTGATCTGTTGTTTTGACTCATGAGTCATGTCCCATAAGATTTCAGGAGCATTTCGTTTGAATGCTGCTTGTCAGCCTATTCATTTTAATACAGTATTGGGGTGGTGGTTGAATGCTGCAAGTGCCTTCGCTCATGAGCGGTAGGTCTCGGGTTCGAGACTTGGGAGCAGCCTCTCCATAAATGGGGGTAAGGCTAGCCGACATTCACCTCTCCCAGACTCTGCGTAAAGCGGGAGCCTTGTGCACTGGGTACGACCTTTTTATTGGGGTGGTGGTTGATGAAGGGCGCCCCCTACCTTTTGTTTGGCACATACAGAGACCTGACCAACCAACCTACAGTGGACCCTCTCCTTTGCACAGGAGGAGGTGGTCTTGTCTAGTTTGGTAAACATTGTTTAAATTTGTTATCACGTTTTGTAACCGAGATAGTAGTAAGATTATATGCATTTACTCCTCGGTGTAATTATTTTTATCTGGGCAACAATTGAGGGTGCCAATTTGCTTAAATGTCTTCATCAAGGTGTTTTCCATTTCAATTAAACGAAGATGATATCTGTTCAAAGAGCATCTTTGTGGAGAAAAGTATGCTAATCTCAGCGTATGTTAGTTTTCTGCTGTTACAGGAGGAGGAGCAGACCTGTCCTCTCTCAGTGACGGTGCGGAGGGCTCTTGTGATTCCAACGACGGGCTTCCACCACTGGAAAGGAATATGAATCACTTAGACATGCAGGAAAGTGATGAAGAAAGTGAGTAACAAATAATGATGTTATGTTTAATCACCTTGCGATTTTGGCAATTTCATATCTTTTAGAAACACATTTCTTGTTTATTGCTCGAGGGACATTTTCTTTTTCCTTTTATGTATATTATTCGGTTTGCGGTAGTCCACTGGTGTTATAGCACGTATACCTATTTATTAAATTTATACCTTAGATCCATGAAATATCGACCTTTAATCTCATATTATTGCATGTCGATTACAAACTAGCTATTGGCATGTAGTTGTCACACTTGAGAGAGGCATTTCAAATAATGCATAAGGTAGCTCTCAAATTAGCAGCTCAGTGATTCAGTGACCATAATTCGTACCTAAAAAGTGCACCAGTGCCGTTAGCTTGGATTAGCTTCAAGGTGATGAGGCACAAGTCCCGCTTTGTGAACCAGATCAATTCACAACCTATGAAATAGGTTGGTCCCTCAAGGTCTTTGACCCCTTGATTTGCCACTCCATGGAGTGACAACTCATTGACCAATTGGCCACTGAAGGCCAATTTATCCACATGCTCCGGGTGGCCAGAGCACGATGTTCTAAAAACAGCAAGATGTGCCTCATTAAAGCATCAATCCTAGCACATCGGGGCTTGGGATAGGATGTTAACGCTTATTCTTTTTCTTCGGTTGCTAATTGAACACCATTAGTTGCCATATCCTGTACACAACAATGCAAGCATTCAACACAACCAAATTCAACAATTAATACCCTTACAACCATCTGCCATTTAGTAATACGGTTTAGTGATATTCCTTTTCACTTGTAAGTAAAGGTCTTAGGTTCGATTCTTGCTAAGGGTGAATTTAAACCACTTTATTGCTAGGCTATTGTGAGACTAAGCCCTACCTCCTCCCCCATAGTGTAGATAATGTCTTTTGTTAGAAAAAAAAAAATATATATATATATCCGTCAACAATCTGTCAACAAGTTTTCATAACCGTACATTTACCATGAACAGATAACGACTTAAGCAAAATCAAGTCAATTCATAAGATTAAACAAGATTTCACCAACAAAAATCAATCTCAACACTACAACCTAAAAAATATCCAACAACATAGCCCTTTCACAACCCGTCAACGATACTTCATAAATTCACAACGCACCCAACGGCACTGATGGTCTAGTCAAGTGGTGCAACATTTCAACAAATACACAAGGAAATACTAAAGACGGTGCATCATCGGCTCCGAGATTGCATCCCTCTATGTATTTATTTTGTTTCTGCTTTTACAAACATTCATGACGAGCAGAAATTCTATGATTCTTTTGGTCTCTTCCTTGCCAGATAGCGTTCTCTCGCTGCAGCCAAATCATCTGCACTTCTTTTATGGTGGTTAGTACTCGGTCAGTTTTCTGGCGGCTGTTCAACTGACGATTTTTCCTGTGCTGATGCAATTGAAGCTTGCTTTTCATCAGAGAGCTCATCACTACGTTTAGACTTGGTTAAAGTTTCCTCTTGATGTCCCTCGATCACCCCGAGTGACTCCAACGGCACTGATGCTGCAGCTATTTCTCTGTCTTCAAGTTTGTCTGGCTTGCCTGATTCGGTCGCTTTTCTAGATGCACCTCTCTCACACTGGAAGACCCCAATGGCTCCAATGCTACAGCATTTGGTCCATATCTATTGTCATGTTTATCTGGCCTGCTTAACTCCTCCTGCGTCTCTAGCTTCCTGGACTTCACATCTTCTGCACCAAAAGCAACATTTCTTTGAAGGTTGAAGTAAAAATCAGTCAAGTCTTTCTTCTTGGTAACATCATCTTTCTCCTCCCGAAGTTGACGCAGTTGATCTTCCTCCACCCATTTGGCTTGCTCTGCAAGTTTCCTTTTGTAAGCACCTGTGACAAAGCGTTCCTTATCTGCATAGAGGTGATCCTCTTGGTTTCGCTCTTTCTGTAGTTTGCTCTCATATATTATCTCCTGCTCTCGCTTTCGTTCTTCTGCTTTTCTCTATATACCAGGAATATACCTTGCCATTCTCTCTTGGCGATCTTGAACCTGAGGTTGGATGGCTTTCTGTTTCATCTCATCATAAACTCCATCGTAGTCGAACACTGACTGGTCCTGCTCCAGGGCCTTCCTCTGTTGCTCCTCAATATCTTTCAGAGACTCGTTCTTGGAAGCCTGCCGACTTATTTCCTTCTCAACATCATTGTCATTGTTGTCATCGCCAAAACCCCGAGGTTTAGGGAGAGGAGGCCTCGTCGGCTGCTTCTTCTGCTGCCCCCTTAGGTTCAACCCGTACTTAATCATTCTTCGTCTCGTCTTCTTCTTTTTCCTGTGATGCTCTGCTTCCAAATTCATCCGCAAAAAGGCAGTTAGTTTCAATTACTTTTGTAGGAGGTATGTTGAGAATCAGTTATCCAGGGATTTAAATAGATGTACAAGCACACACAGACGCAATATTCCAAATCACATACAGATTCTAATAGCTTCCCCAATTCTAAAATGTCAAGATCAACTGTGCAGTAAATATCTTGCGTAAATCCGATCATGGAAACTGTTTTTTATGAGTTAACTCGCAACAGTAAATTATAAAAGACATCATATAAGATTTACGAGTTAAACGAAAACAATACCTCCTCGAAATCTTTTCTTTTCTTCTTTTCATTCACTCAAATTTCCCAAGATTTATGAGTAACTGAAGTTGAGCAAGGTAAGAAAACCACATAGCTTATGCATACTCGTAACAATGTCAATGCACCAGAAGAATACCTGAATGGCTACTTATTTGGGGCGAATAAACAGAAAAGAAAATTATAACAAATAGACAAAGGGCAAGAGGGATTCGAAAACTTAGATATTAAGTCTACTTGGGTTTCACGAGATAATAAGAGCTATAGCTAGATGATCATCTTCTATCTCTTGACCGGACTGGTCTCGTCCCATCTGGTTTGGCTGACTTAGACAAAGGGTATCCTTCCGGGAAGGAATCCCAAAATCCCGCGGGAAAGAATTCACTCCGGGGGTATTCAAAAAGGGGAGTCGCGGGTTCTTGCTTTAGTTTCTTTTCTTGCGCACTCAACCATCCTAGCAACTTCCACTACGATAGAACCCGACAATAAGTTTACGAAGGCTTCGAGTAGTGCAGGATAATCCGAATCAATAGAATCAGGAGTTGTTCGGATGATTGCCCCTGCTGGGAATCGATGCATGCCAAACGGGACTTCTTCACTGACAACTCCCAAGCACGCAATTCATCAAATAACACAATCAAATCGATTAAAACCACCTCAAATTCATAAAAAAGTAAAAAAAAAATTGACAGAAGATAATACAAGTGACTTATTCCGATCAAATAATACGAAGTAAATAAAACCAACTTTGACCTGTATAGTAAAAATGATAGTAAACTAAGTCAGTCGAATAAACTTCGCGTTGGGCAAAAACATAAAAATAACACTAGTCCCAGAATCTGCAGAAATGCTTCCATAAAAATATACCCAAAGAAGGAAAGATAACGTAGTAAAAATTATAATGCAATTTCGGCAATCATACAATACGAAACCCTCAACTCAAAATTTTGTGCAAATCCTGAAATCGAACGAAACAAAAGGGCGTACCTTTGCTGCTGAAGATAACACAATTATTATCTAACGAAACAGAGAAACCATAAAAGCACGAAACCTAAACCCTAGTTGCCTAAACGCATTGCAGGGGAACGAAAATGTAAAGTAAGGAGACTTGCAAGAATTTATGCTTGACCGGCAGCCGCGGCGAAAGAATCAAAAGGCCCACAAAAAATGGGGAGTGGTCAATTGAAAACCCTAAGTTGACAACACAAAACCCACCACTGGAGAAAGCACCAGCATCTATGACGAAGCAAACCCAAAAAACAGATGACAAAGCTTAATCTGAATAGAGCTTCTCCGAATTGGAAGAAAGAGAACCAGCTGGAGTCGGTGTTCGTTGTTTCCTGAAAACAACCATAAAAATAAAAAGAGAGAGAGAGAGAGAGAGAGAGAGAGAGAGAGAGAGAGAGAATGTAAAAACAAGAAAAATGCTTTCTTCCTTAATTTCTCTTTTGATTTGGGAAATTTGGGGGTTTTCTCAGAATTTAGGATTTCTAGAGTTCTTTCCTCTCTATCTATTTTGCTCACCACAAATTACAGCATCACCTATTTATTATTGTTAAATGAGTTTAAATTTTGAGATTCTTGTAGTGAATATACACAAATCTTAAATTCAAACTCATCTAATAATGATAAATATGATTGTGAGATTACCACTAATTGAGGGTGGTGGGCAAAATGCACTCATTTTGCTCTAGTATTTTTTTATTTCTTTCTATTTTGCTTGGGATCCAATTGGATAGGTAATGAGGCACTTAGGCTCATTAGGCCCGTCAAGAGAAGACGGAGAGACTTTTTGTTGCGACTAACTTTAAGAGTCACGATCTCATCAACGCATTACGATGTGCTACGCGCAACTTATATATTTTAAATGTATTTATATGCATGCATTGCTTCAATATTTTTTTTTCTGGGTAAATTATACAAAACTACCCCAACTATTGGGTCATTAACAGTTTCGTACCTCGTATTTAAAAAGTTTCAATGTCATACCTCATCTACGAATTTGTTGCAATGTCATACCTTCCGTCAATTTGTCTGTTAATTCTCTATTAAATGGTGACGTAGCTTGAAGCAGGACCCACTCTTTATTAAAAAATTAAATAAATATTAAAAAATCATTAAAAAATTAATTTTTTTTAATTCTAAAAAAAAAAAGATTTGGGGGACCCACCCATCCACCCGTGTCCCCCCTTTCTTCTTCTTATTCTTCTGTTCTTCCCCCGCCCTCTTATCCCACCTAAAAACCATATCCCATCCCTGCAACCCTCGACCCTTTCCCTACCCACGCCAACATCTCTCCCCCCAGACCTACCACTTCATTCTCTTTTTCTTCTTCTTCTTCTTCTGTTTTTCCCCATCCACCCGTGTCCCCCCCCCCCGACCCCCAACCTTCCTTCGCCACCCTATCGTCGCCCTCTTTTCCTCCATCTCCACCTCCTTCCATCTCACCCATGGATCCCCCTTCCCTCCGTCGATCTACACTCGGACGCGTGAAACTGCTACGTCGACCCGAACCCAGACAGGGTGTTTGTCGGGTCAGGCTTGTTCAAGAGCGGCGACCTGGCAAAGTGGGCAAGGTTTATTGTGCAGGCAGTGACGCACTCTCGGGACCCGGATGTGTTGGCGGAGGTAAGCTGCAGATTGGAGGATGAGATGGTGGGGTTTAAGGTACTGTTTGGATGGATTAATGGGTTTAAGGGACTATTTGGGTGGATTGTTGATGTGGTGTTCCTCGTCGGCGTGGATATGGGAAAGAGAGGGCGGCGGTGGGATGGTGAAGGAAGGTTGGGGGTGGGGGG